TCTCTTTCTTGATTTGCTGTTAATTTAATAAAATTCCAATTGCAAAGAAAATCAATTTAAATTCTTCTATACTGGAAAAACATTCCAAGATCAAAGCGTTTTTTTTTTGGCGCCTATAAAGAAAACCTAAGGAATTTTGTCTCTTTTCGGTATATAAAAGAATTTAATCAATTTTCCAGTTGGGGTAAAAAAAAAGTATTTTATCTCCTTTTAAAAAAAAAAACTTTCGAGAAAACTAAAAAATTTTCTAAACTAAAGAAACTCGAGATGAGATAATTATTTAAATTGTTTCTACTTTTATAAGAAGAGTCCGCACATTTTGTATGTATATATGTAGATATTTCTCTTTTTCTTTTGGAGAGAAAATTTTTTTCCAATACCAAAGGGAAATGGTATGTGTGTGTGTATGGCCTAAATCCAGAGGGCAAATATTTAAATTTCAGGCTCGATTTAAATTTTGTGGTTGAAAGGTCTTTGTCTTAATTTTACTTTGGTTCTCGTATTCGTTTTTTATTTTTTTAAACAGAAGAAGCGAGATTTAAAAAGTTTACCCACGGTTTTAATGTTTGTCTACGATTTCAAACTCATTGAGAATATAGGTGTTTGAATTGTAAGAAGTAGTTTTCAAGATTTTTCTTTTTCTTCATTTTACGCTCACTGAAATTGGAGAATAGTTATTTCTATGAATTTTACTGAACTTTATTATGTAGCCTGGATATTCAAAAGTCATTAAACTTTTCGAATTTACTTTTTACACAATTATTATGAAAAGAAAGATTTTTTTTTTTATTGAACAATTTTTTTTTCAAAAATTCGCAAAAATAAAAATTGTTTCTAAAAAAGAAATCAAAATATTTTTGATTGAAACAATTTAAATTTTTTCATTTGAAAATTAAATTGTCGAGTTGGAATAAAAGTGGAATTGCAATTTTATTTTATATCCGTGTATATATAGAGCTTATTATTTTTGAAGAAAGAATTTCTAGAATTTCGTTTCATTTCTAAAGTTTAATACACGTAGATGTGATCTTAATCGAAGAAAAAAAATATATATATACAAAGAAACACAAAACACGTGTAGAGAGGAGGAAGGGTCGCTTGAAATCTTTGGCCTTGGGGTTTCTATTCGCGTTAAATTGCCTCCACGAATATAATATCATCATGAATAAACTTGAAAGTATTTGACGTGCGGCAAGAGGTCGTATGTAACTTGATATTTTTTACACCCCCATTTTTACACACCCCTCGTGTACATTTTATTATCGTGTGTTAAATTCCATCCCTTTATAAAAAAATTTTTTAAATATTCCACACGATAGTTTAAAGAAAATATTTTCCTTTATTTTAAATAATACTTTATTTATTAATTTTTATATATTTTTTTTTCACTGAAAAAATATTTTAATAGACTTTATAGAAGAAGATTTTTTAATCGAAGGAAATATTTTTAATTATTTTAATATTCAATAATTAAAATGATTTATTTAAAATATTTTTTTTATAATTATTTAACTTAATATTTATATATTTAAAAATTGGGACAAATATTCTATTATGAGATTCTATATGAATTTGACCTTCTTTTATGGAGATTAATATATTGTCTATTAATGGAAATTAATGCAATCTATTAATAAATTTCCTTATCACGCTCAGTGTATTTTATCTATACATAATAACAGGATCAATATTGGCGTGTCTCTTATTTTTATGGTTCTTTTAATTATTTTCCAATGTAATTTTAATTTTTCTAAATTTAATATTAATTGTTGTTAATTTTTTATCAATGTGAATAAGAGAGTAATATTATTATTCTTTTTCCAGAATTTGGAGTAACGAAATTTCCTTCAATGATCAAATTTTGCGCGTATGAAATAACTTTATATGGAGCTTTTTCCATATATGGAAATTCTCTCGTCATCGTCTTTAACACACGTGCCTTTTATAAGTTTTGGTCTCGACAACATTAGTCCGTTATCATTACAAGTCCTGTAAATGCAATTTCTAAAGACTTCGCAGTTTCTTCGACAAATCTTTAGAGAGACTCTGCACGTTTTCTTGGCAATGAAGCAAAAGCTATGCACCAAAGTTCGGTTTATAAAGACCAAAGACTCTAACTAGAAAATTTGTCAAGGAAATTTCGCTTTCTATATATATGTATAAACGAAACGTGACTCAGAAAACTTTTTTCTAAACGCAAGAATTTTTTTACTTTTCAAATCAAGAAAACTTATTTCTTTCTTTTATGTAGAATTTCAATATTTATCAAAAGATCAATTTTTATTTATTAATTTTTTATTATATTTTTTTTTCGCTTTTTCTAAGTTAAATTAATTCAATATAATCGAAAAGAAAAATTGAAATAATTTCATATTCTAAATATTTATATTTATCCTCGACTTTTTGAGAGAAATTCTATTCATGCACACAAGATTGTAAAGTAAGCAATAACCATATCACAAAATGTATATTCCTCCCGGGTTTATAGAAATGTCAAGGGAAATCTGAAAAATCATGGAAGAAAATTTCAAGAAAAATTTTTTGAATCTTCAAGATTTTTGTATTTAAATATTTATTGAATTTTTTATTTTTTTTCTCTCTAGAATTTCTTTTTCAAAAAAAAAAAAGAATAAAAATATCAAAAGGAAAATATTTCAAAATATATATAAAATTTAAATATTTTTTTTAAATTAAAAATTTATGTTTACAATTTATATACTATATTTTTATATATTATTATTTAATATTGAGAGATAATTATTTTTGACAATTTTTAGGGGGCGATGAATATACTATAATGAAGAGAGACGAAAAGGAATATTATTTTTTTTTTGGCAAAAAAAGAAAAAAAAAAAAGTTGAAAACTAATGTGAAGAAGAAAAGCCTTAACGAGAGGATAATTCGAGATTTAATAAAACCCGTCGCCTTTTCAGAATAATTACCTCTGTAGCGGCGCACAGTTGTAATAACTGAGAGCTGCTGGAAATAAGTGAGGATAAAATAAAGAGACTGAGAGAGAGAGAGAGGGAAAAATAGAGAAAGAAAACGATAACGACAAATGGTCAAGTGGCTCGAGAGAAAAGTTGAAGATAAAATAAGCTGTAAAAGCAGAGATTTGGGGGAACCATGTGCATTTGACGAGAGAATCAACTCTCTCTCTCTCTCTCTTCCGTATTGAAATGACAAGTTTATCATTTCACGACCTCGTTTAAACCTCATAATCGTTTGTGTACTATTTCCGCACTAGTTGAGTTGTATATTCAAGTCATGAATTTACTCATTATTTTCAGGAATGACTATATATCATTCAAAAAAATATTGATTTAAAAGCGGACAAAATTTTTCCATTCAATTCTTTTTCTAAAATAGTCTTCTTTTGATTTCTATCATTAAAAATCATTAATTGAAAAAAAATGAAATATTTTAATTCTAAATTTCGAATAATTTTTTTAAATATGAAAATTTAACATTTTTGATTTTTTTTTGGGGAATGTTTATAAAGTAAAATGAAGATTTAATAATTATTTAAACGCTTTGCGTTGTTTGTTATTCATTGATGTGAATTTGATAAATGGGAGTTATAAATAAAAAAATATATCATGAAAGTTGATTATAAAATATTGTCACAGGTCAAAGGACCATCTTCATCTTTTAATTGATCGCATATTCGTTTGGTGTTTTTTTATTCCAATTTCTGACAGATTTAAAAAAAAAATAACAACAAAAATTTCGCAGAGGTTTCGAAATTAGCGTAATTCAACCCTGGATATATATATATATAAACGGGGGGAGGGGGGTAGTAAGTACATTCTCGACGTAATCCATGAACCGCCTCTGCACTTCCCTATTAATTAAAATCGTGACCTACCATGAAACCTACGTTGCGTTCTAAGAGAGAGAGAGATTCTCGTTTGCTCTCGAGAGATTTAAATAAAGGGCTTTAGAGAATAATCGTGAAGCTTCTTCTTCTTCTTCTTCGTCTTCTTCTTTGGATTTTTTTGCTCCTTATAGAATCGGTCCAACTCTAATTCTCCTCTTTGAAAAGGAATTATTATGCATCTTTAAATAGGACGCTTTTTTTTGTCGTTGAATGATAAGAAACAACAAGGTACCCCTTTGTTCGAAAGGATAATGCTTATATACAAATCTGACAAACATTTGTCTCTCATATATTTATATATATACAAAATAGAATAGTGAATCTTCTATCTCGCTCCAATTATTTTTAAAGTAACATGTGATTAACGATGAAAAGAGTTTTTCTCCAAAAGATAAAATGAGGCAAAATTTAATGATCCCATTCTTTAATTCCCATTTTTATAATTTTTTTTTTATTTCGAAATTACGTTAAATTTTACATTTGAATTTTTTTTTTTCAAATAATTAAAAACAAAAGATAAATAAGAGATTTTCTCGTAGAAAATTAAATTAATACCTTTTAAGATTCTTTTATCTCGAGAAATGTGATTTTTTTTTCTTCTTAGAAATAATTACCAATGGGCAATTTTCATTTCCTAAGTGCTATTATTATTTTTATTATTATTATTATTATTATAAATATGAAGAAAGCCAATTCTGAAACAAAGAGCAAAAGTAGGGCAAAAATAAAGAACAGGCGGAAAATCAAGTTTTAAAAGTTTTGATTAATTAATCTTTTTCTCTTCTCTATATATAGACTATATAATTCACTTATTCGTCCGTTTGAATGAAGTGCTGCAAAGTAAAATGGATTTATTTCACTTTTAAATTTAATTTACCGAAGTTGGAATTAAAAAAAATATTAAATAGCAAAAAAAATTTTTTTCTAAAGAATCGTCTTTGTAATTCTAATTTTATATTCATATTATTAACAAATCATTATTATTCTATAATTTCAAAAAAAAATGTTTATTATTATATATTTCATAATTAATTTATTATACTAATTTAAAAAATTAATCAATAATGATAATAAAGCAAATTGTTGTAAATAATTAATTCATCTTTTTATTTTTTTACAGGGAATTTAAGATGAAGCTGTGGTGGAGTTTGATTTTAGTAGGACTCGTTCTGTCGATAATGATCACCACAGCAACCGCAGACCTGTGGGAAGAAAACGATAAGGAAGTTCTTGTTCGAATAGGTCGTGCCACCAATACTCAACGTGGTAGGCGATTATTAATTTTAATTAATTATTAAAATCAACTCTCGTTATAAATTTTTCCCAATCTCTTTTTTTCTTTTGCTATATAATGCTCCAATTTCCAATAATTATATCCGAAATTATTGGCAAAAACTTTCCACACAAATTGCAAAACTATTTCATCAATAATTAATTATATATGAAACCGTTACAAGTTAATTTTGTGTACAAAATTATTATTATTATTATTATTCACAAAATATGATATTAAATATTGTAATTACAATTAAATTAAATATTATATATAAAATTATTATATGACTTCCACTTTTTTAGGATCTGGTAGTTCGACATCATGCAGATATTCCAAAGGTGATTGGTCAGAATGTGATCCAAAAACCAATACACGCTCTCGAAGTCTTACTTTGAAAAAAGGAGACAAAGGATGCGAGCAGACAAAATCAATTTCGAAGAAATGCAGAAAAGGTAGCTATTTTTTTAACTATTTTTTTCTTTTCTTTTTGACAACAATTTTCTATTTAATTTTTTTTTTTCCCCAAAAATTTTATTTTTAATCTACATTTTTTTGGAAGCAAACAATTTTTTTCTCCCCCCCACCCTTCTAAAAAAGGTAATATATAATTTTAAAAATTAAAAATTGAGGAATTATGATAACGGAATTTATCGTGATTTGATTATATGCGTGGAATCAGCTTGCCGATATGAAAGAGGCTCGTGGATGGGATGCGAGAATCAATGGATGGCAAGAATCGACACCCTAAAGGCGAATAGTGATGCATCATGCGAAAAGACGCGACGTGTCACGAAAAGGTGTAAAGTTGAAAATACAAAGAAAGTCTCAAAAGGTATTTTCATTTAAAAAAAAAGTCTCCAAATTATAAACAAAAAAAAAATTTGGAATTTTTATTTTCTAATTTTCATTGTTTGTTTATTATTCTAATTTAAGAAAATTCTATTTCAGGTGATCGATCGAATAAACAAAAATCAGGCAAACAGTAAAATTTCATGAGAGAATCGTCGTTTCATTAAACGTTGACACGGCGATCATTTTTTTCTCAACGAACAATGAAATCCAATTTTCTCTCAGTGTAATATTGATTCATCATCACATCTGGAGAGAGGAAAAAGAAATTCGAAAATCAGATATTACGCCAACTGCAGAAAGTTCATATCTTCACAAAAAAAAAAAAGAACTTCTGTCCAAAGGCACCAATCCCTTTATTTTGTTCCTCGATCTTCCCCCTCGAGGACCAAGCGTTTCAATTTATCATTGCTAATCTCGTCGTTTTTAAAACGATCGTCGTCAGTATATAAAAAAAAAAGAATAAGAAAAACAAGAGTCCGCTTCCATTTTCTGTGGCCAAATATATATATTGATTAGTGATTTATGAGATGCTTCTTTTTCTCAGCACGTAAAAAGGCGACGTCTTTTTTTTTATTTTGCAAAATTTTCCAAAGACGAGCATTCCAATTTTTCATTTGTGTTTATAGTTTCATCTTCTGACAAATAGATTGAAATGCGGTGAATTGAGTAGAATATATTTGATTGAAAAACAAAAATTCCGTTTCTCAAATTCATCCGAGTTAGAAAATTTTTCTTTTTGATTCTTGAAAATTGGAATCAAAAAGAAAAAAACACACCGAAAATTTATATTTATACACAAAATTACACACTTTATAGAATAAGATATTAATAAAAAAAAAAAAAAAAAAATGTTATTTAACGGTATATAAAAGTCGACTGACAAAATTTCATAAATAGAATAAATTGTAATCTAATTTCAATCTTTTATTCAATTGAATTTTATACTAAGGAAACTTTCTTTCTTTTATTTAAATCCAAATAGTAGAATGTCTAAACGAAAATAGAAATATACGACTAATTTAATTTTTTTTTTTACTTTCAAAACATTTTTGAATATTCTCGAAACTTCGAGCATGTAACGCCGCTGAGCAGGAAAATCAAATTCATGTTGAAATCGTGTTTTTACGATCTTCCATTTTACAAATCGATTATTATCGTTAGAAATGTAATCAAAAACCAAAATACAATAAAAATAGGTATTCAGATAATCAAAACCTGAGATAATTTACTAAAAAGGAATTCATTAAAAAAAAAATCAAATTGAAATAAAATAGGAATTTATCAAATCAAACGGAATTAAATTTTTTTTTATATGAAATCAAAAGTTTTTCAAGTAAATTGAAACTTATGAAAAAGAGAGTCAAATTAAGTCAGTCAATAGAAAATATAAATAAAATTTTAAAATTATTATACCATATCATCATTAAAAAATAAAAAGAAAAAAAAACTATTACTAGAATAAAAAAAAGCTATGTTTTACATAGAACTCTTCCGGTTAGATGTTTCCTAATTAATCACTTCTCTGTGTAGTTCTAACATCGAAAGACCTCAGAAAATTCTCTTTATATATAATAATGTGGATCTTTGATCCATTTGACAACGTGTGTCTCAAACTTCAAAAAAAAGAAATGTTTATAATATATTTAAAATAACGTTATAAGAAATTAAAAATATTTTCCAAAAAAATGTTTTAATTAATTTAATAATCAAATTGCAAAGTAAAATATAATTTTAACAAAAAAAAAATGTATTTTTTAAAAAATTATTCTGCAACAAGTCTAACAAATTTATTTCGTTTGAGAGTACATATCATAAATGAACTGAAGATCCTTAAAAAAATTAATTTCCAAAGACGTTTGATCATTTGATTTTCTTTGGAAATATAGCGAGAGAGAGAGATATAGAGATTTATCTCAAAGAGGTTTTTTTTTTAAACAAAGGATTTTTAAATGTTAAAAAATGCATTTGTAACATAGCATTTATAGAAAGAATGCTTACGTGCTCGATTACAAATAAAAAAAAAAAGAAAACATTGTTCTCGTCGAATTTTCGACAGTAGTAATGCTACTCATAGATTTTTGACTCTTATTCTTAGCGAAAAATATCATATTTAATAATTAATTAAAGAAAATAAATTTTAACAAACACAAGAACGATAATTTCAATTGGAAAAAAATAAATATTAACTAATTGAAATAAACTCGAATAATTATAATAATATAATTATATTATTTAATTAGTTAAAAAGAAAAAAATATATTAAAAGGATTTAATGGAATGAACTTGATACATTTAACAAATGTGAAAAAAATATCGAGTAACAAAAATTTTCGCTAAGAGATTTTTGTAATTATATATTAATAATTACTAACGTTGATAGTTTAAGCTCGTTAGCTGATAGTCGCGCTCTTAAGTTGTGCATTTTTACTCATTAAGTTTTTTTTTTCTTTTCACCAGTTTTTGCTGTTAAAGCAATAAATTAAAAATACAAAAAAGAGGAAACAACACTGCGACAAAGAATTGTTACTTTTCGAAATTTTTATAATAGCGAAAACTAGACTCCCATATATATATATATACATTTCGATATTGTGTAATCAAGTGAAAATTATATTTGAAAAAAAAGTCGGTTGAAAAAATTTTTTGCAATGCAAATACTAACATTGTCATTCTAGAAAATTATATGAAGAAAAAAAAAATTGTAATCTACTTGTAACACAAAAATCCGGTGTTTTCAATATATACTTTCTTATACACAATTTTGAAAAAAATTACTCTTTATAGAATTATTAAATTGAAAAAAAATATTTAAATTGAAATAGTTTCGATTTAAATATTTCCAAAATTTTATTTATTTGTTTGTTTTTTTTTCTAATAAATAATAAATATGCACTTTAAGATGAATGTAAATTTATTACAATTTATATTCACACATATTACAAAATATTTGACTTATATTTATTCTTTGAACTTCTGGTATAAATTGTTAGATTAAAAAATTCTTTTATAAAAAAGCGATAAAAGTTTTACTAAAAAAACGATGAGATTCACTTTCGTTGATAAAAATTGATTTACAATCAATGTTTACGAAAATTTGTATATAAAAAATTATTTAACATTTGTTTTTTTTTCAAAAATGTCATAAAAATATTTTTTAGAAACATACATAGTCTATGAAATGGACGGATTGTGTTTATAAACTACAGTAAACGATTTTAATATCATTTACGGAAGCTTCTATCACTAAAATAAATCTTATTATTCTAATAGTTACATTTTTACAAATGTAAATTGCAATAATTTCAAAAGCGTGACATGCATTTTTTTTTTCAAAATATAATATTTGTGAGACAAGCTGCCAACAAAAAATTTAGATTTTTTAACTTTTGGAAACATTTCTTTTCGATTATTATATTTAAAGTTTAAAAATTTATTTTTATTTCGAAATTTAGAAATAAATTAAAAATATATTTAAATTGTATAGATGAAATTTTCAAATCATTGAAAAAATATTAAGAGAAATAAAATGTTTCAAAAGTCAAAAAATTTCTATATAGAAAAATATAAAAAAAAAAAAATTTTAAATTCAATTTTCAAGCCATTGAAACGGAAATTTTTCGCGAATATGTCTTTTCCTCCCATTCCTCGTCGGAAGGAAAGGCGACATTTCGCGTTTTGCAAAATTTCGGTCCATGCTTTAATAATACCATTATGACACCAACGACAAAAAGAGTTAAGCAAGCGCTCGCTGGCCAAAAAACGTGTAATCCCATTTTTGGTTCTTTTGTTTTCTTTTGGCTCTGTACTTAACTAGGCAAGTAATAAAAAAAAAAAAATCTGTACAAATTTGAACAATCTCAGTGTAAGTAAAAAAAAAGGAAAAATTATGGAATGGCTTAGATTTCACTTTCTCGTTTGTGTAATTCTATATATTCTTCAGGATGTGAAGTTGCCACGTCCAATTCGTCTTTTTGATAATCGTCCTCAAATTGTGGTCGATGGTGAACGTAGTGTTGGGATGATGTTCCTTTTTCAAATTCTGATATATCGAGAGGTGGATTATTATGCGGTGTCACTGACCAAAGTGGTTGAATCCACCGATTTCCTATTTAATTATAAATTATCATTTTTTTTAAATAATTTATTTATTTGCATTTTAACGGGCAGAAAGTCTTTTTAGTACAAAGTACTTAATAAAAAGGTAATAAAAACTACAAACTAAAATAACAAATGAAAAAAAAAATAACAAAATATTATTATTTAATTATTATTAATTTACCTGTGTGTCTGTCTTGCCAATATCTTCGATGACGTGAACACCAGCAAAATGTTACATTCAAAATTATGAGAAAAACTCCAATAACTGAACAAATAGTGATGGTCACATAAAATGGAGTGAAATCACCAAATAGTTTAGGTCCAGTATTATATTTTAGATATTCAGTGCGATCGTCTAGAACGGACATTTTATAACTTAATTATTTCTGGAAAAAAAAGAAATAGGACAATATTTTACATAAGGAGACTATTAAAAAAATTTTTTCTCTTTTATTGAAAACTCAATTTTAATTTGTTTGTTTAATTTTTCATTTAATGGTTTATTAATTAGATTTTAGTGATTAATAACAATATTAAAATATTAATAATTTAGTGAATAATAATAATAATAAATTATCGAATTAATATAAATCATTTAATTACAAATGTGTTTTTAAAATTCAAAACAAAAATTTTAAATCATAAACAAAAATATTTGAATAATTATTATTTATATATAAATAAAGAATAAAAATAAGAATATAAAATTTTATTTCGTTATATTAAAAATTAATCAAAAAAAACATTTTTTTAAAAAAAATTCAAAAGAACGAAGTAAAAAGTTAGTAATTAGGCCGGCAAAGGCGTGGCGACAATTTATTCATTAAGAAAGAAAGAGAGAGAAAGAAAATACAAAAATATAAACCAGACATTTAAATGCATTGAAGAAAAAAAATTAAAATTGATTATTAAATAAAAATAAAATTTTTTTAATCTTTTTTATAATTTTCTTTTTTATAATAGAAAGTAAAAATATGTGCATCGTGGCTGACGGTTTGTAATTAATGAGACATTGTAAAGTTTGTAAAAGACGGATACATACCATTAAAAAAGAAATAACGTTTTTTTTTTTTTTTGCCTCTCTGATGAGTAAAATTTGTTTAAAAAATTCTACTATAATATAATTTGAATTCACAAAAAAATTTTGACATTATTTGCCTAATTTTTAAATAAGTTTTAAATTAATATTTCTAAATTGTTTGGTGAGACCACTACATTCCACAACTTGTATTGGGCGGGGCGGATTTTATAACTGAGTGGGGAATGGAACGTCATATGCTTCTTTCAGTCCGCTGGCTGCTAGAACGGTGACTTCATTCAAAAAGAACTTTATCACCGATCATTGAAAACGCTTACTAAAAATGTGCGGGAATTTAAAAACAAGAAAAAAATTAAATCAAAAAAACTTTGGAAAAAATAAAATAAAATCATGTTAATATATGACAAGACAGACATTGTTAATTTATTGTAATATTAAATTATAAATTGTTCTACCTTAATAAAAAATTTTCTTTTTGGTTGCAAACAAAAATTAATTGCACAATTTTGCAATGATGCAAACATTTTCCAATGAAAAATCCACTGATGTATAATAAATTAATTGACAATTGAAACCAGAATTCTTTAAATATTCCACACGACCCCAATTTAAGAGCATTTTCACTTTTCTACCCATTTCTTCTCGTTCCTTGAAAGTTTTCAAATCGTTCCTACAAAAAAAAAGGAGATAAAAAAAAATTAGTTTTGCAAATCTAACATTTAAAAACTCACTCTAATTTTTCTTGTTGTTCAATAGTGTCCTCGTGATTATTTATTTTGGCATTTTTTTCAAAACCACATGTCGCCCAACTTGCAATACTGCAAAGAATTGGAAATTCATCAGCAGAAAAATTACACGATTCTAAATATTTTTTACCAACATATGAAGAATATTCACAACGATGATGACAACAAAATGCAATAATAAGTCCACTAATTTTTCGTATTGATTTGTCATCTTCTTTCGCTGATATTAAACATCTTAATGTCAAATCTAAAATTAAATTTTAATAAAAATAATTAATTTAATAAATGATATTCATTTTCGAAATAAAAAAAACAAAATACCTGTCGCAGAACCACAAAGATGTTTTGCAACTCCAACAATTGAACAATTCTCTCCTATATCTTCGACTTTATTTAATTTTAAATCAGCAATATCAACACGTATGCGTTTTACATTTAGTGGATTATCTTCGTTTTTTAATTTATTATCCTTTTTGTGTCTATGACTTGAACGATCAACAAGTAAAAGAGAAGATTCACTTTGTCCTTTAATCACTTGTGCCAACCAATAAGTTAATTTTCCTAAATTTGAATAATTTTTAAATAATGATATTATTATTTTTAAATTAAATTTATTTTTCCTCTACCTTTTCCAGCGCCAAATTCAATAAAACAAGTGTTATTTTGAATTAATTTTGAATTCTCTAAATGACCTAATAACGAGGCAGTTTGTAATAAATGTCTCTTTGCTCCATGTCCATAAGTGGGATTATTTAATTCTTCTGTGAGTACATCGTGACTTAAAATTATTTCTGAAATTTTCGGTAAATGAACTGTAAGAGAAAAAAATAAATATATGAAAATATGAAAATTAATTTAATCGAATAATTTGAAAAATAAGAAACAATTTTTACCATAAGCAGAATTAATTTTATCTATAACAGTATTTACTATTGACGAATCAATTAAAGAAAGTCGAATATGAGTCGGTTGTTTTAAATCTATGTCACCCAAATTAATTCCTTTTATAATATAAGCAGGCAAAGAATCGACTTTTACTTTAGCATTACAAACTTTTAAATGTTTTGCTAATTTATTCTCATAACAAGTGCTGCGAAAAGAAAAAACATTTTTTTTTAATCCCTTTTTTTAGGAGACAGTTTTTTATTAAAAATAAAATATACCAACTGTTTGGAATCAAGAGGACACACTATTCTTCGTTTTTTAGATAAATCTTGTACTATTTCATTTTGATTTGGCTGATGTTCGCCACAAAATTGATTATTCTTTTTTACTGTCATTCGACAGTAACGTTTCTTTCGTTTAACAAAATATTGACAATGTTTATCTTCCATTTTTATCGTAAACTGTTCAAAAAAATATATACATATGGAATTAAATAAAAAAATTACAATAAAAAACAATACAGCAGCAAACGGTAAAATGAATAAAAATTAAATTTGCTTTGCTACCTACATAAACCATTAAAAATTTATCAATAACTATAAAGTTTCGATTTCAAATGTCACATTTCCATATGCATTTAATTTTAATAAAAAAAAATACATATTTCTATATTAAATAAATAAAAAATAATACAAAACTACCTGAGAGCATAACCTCAAAATTTAAACTTTCACTCGCACTTGGATATATTTAATTACTTATATATAATTGCAAAAAATTAATAGTTTTCAACAATTCTTCATCATGTAGAGTCTTATTAAATTAATTGTTCTTAATTAAAATTGTATTAAAATAAATAATTAAATTACACATAAAAATAAAGTCAAGTTCACAAGATGTCAAAATTTAAATCCCCTTGTATTTTATAAAAATAAAGTTTTGTGATTGGTGGACAAGTAATGGCGGACATATTTTACCGACACATTAATTGCATATGTATATGTTTGTACGTGTACTGCATTGCGTGTAGTAAATTGTATATTGTTCTCAACTTGAAGCGGTCGATTTATTGTAATGTTTGACGAAGCCAGAACAAAGGGAGTGACAAAATATTCTTAATTATATCCTCAGTGAAATGAATATTTATAATAGTGACGATTTTTCAACTATTTAACAAACTTCAAAAGTCATTTAATAATATTAAACATGAATGGTGATCGAAGTCAAGTGTAAGCAGTTTGTCTGGGCATCACTGGCTAAAAAGTACATCAACTTACTCAATATTTCTGTCATGCCTCACACAACGCACAAAAGGTTACAATTGGTTGAGAACCGTTTAATTTTATTACTAATTTTTTTTTAAAAATCCTTGTATCAAATTTTTATTCACCTATTAGGATTTATTATTTTTTAGAGCAAGAATTTAATTATCAAATTACTTTTTACTAGTACAGAAATTATATTTCTCATCATTTATGAATTTGTTTCGTAATTGTTTTTAATTACTTTTTTTTTAATGTTATGATTTTCTTTTAACAATCTTTCAAGTTAAAATAACTTGTTTCACTACAAGTTTTTTTTTTAATTTCATTTTTTTTCAGTATAATTTATATATTTTTGTTTCGTTAAAAATATTTTAAAACAAAATTTGCAAATTACATAAATATTTTTGTATATAATTTCTTTTTGCTGTGTTTTATTTTTAAAATAATGTTAAATTTATTACAGTTCGCCTTTGAGATAAATTGTTCTATTGAATAGTAAAAAAATGGCTATGAATCCAGGATATTTTGTTGGTTTACCAATGAATATGGATAGAGTTTGTAGAATTTGTCTCACAGAAAGTACAAATTTATCATCAATATTTTGCTCGAATCAAGAAGTACAATTTCCAGAAATTTCACAAAAAATACAAATTTGTGGCTCAATTGATATTCAAGAACAAGATGGTTTACCATCTTTAATTTGTAACGATTGCATCTTTAAAGCAAGTATTGCCCATGAATTTCGACAGCTTTGTCAACATTCTGATGCTCGTTTACGACTTTATTATAATAAACCTTCTAAAAGTAATTTAATGGTATGTATATAATTATAATTATTCTCGATTAATAATTTTCCTTTCAAGTTTTAAAAGTGATATTTCTTTTTTTTTTCAGGAGAATGGTACACAAACAGATCCTCAAACTCGAATTGTAATATCGAAAAAGCAAGCGAATCATCAGGAAAATGGTTACAATGTTAAAGAAGAGGAACTTCATATTATGTCTGATATTCAACAAACACAAAATTTTACACACGAGGATGTCTCTTTAAATCAAAATCCCTTAAGTATTCATGGTGAAAAAATATTTGAATGCAATCTTCGATTTGAAGAGCCAAAAGAGACTGAGGATTTAGCAGTTGCTATAAATGAAACTGTAATTAACGCAAATGTTATCGATCCAAATGCTATTAATGATAATGAAATACATTCAAATAGCATTCATCCAAATATTATAAGTGTCGATGTTGTAACGGATAATTCAATGCAAATTCGATGTTCCGAAACGTTAATTGTCACAAATGAGAGTAAAATTGATTCCACCAAGACTGACATTCTCAACAATAGAACGAACGCATATATCGATGAGCAAATGTTAGTTGAGAGTTTAGAGAATCAAGAAACAACACCATCGAAACGTACATCAACACGTAAAGTGAAATCAATTAATCACAATAAAACAACAACATTAAGTGATGAGGAAATTGATGATGATTATTATGATCAAAGTAGCGATAGTCAAGATTCTCATGAACCAAAATTTAAATGTAAAATTTGTTCTAAACGTTATTCAACACAAAAGGGTCTCAAGAAACATTCCCTTGTACATGATAAAAAACACAATTGTGACATTTGTCTAAAAACATTTTGCAAATTAGAAAATCTTGAAAAACATAAACAAATTCATATGACAAAACCCCATGCATGTCAATTGTGTCATACATCATTTTCAAAACCACAAAGTCTTGTTAAACATTTAAAATCCCACACAGAGAAAGTAAATGATATTATAAAACAAATAAGCAATGATGATGATGATGATGATCATCATCATCAACAAGAAATATTGAATAATGAACCGAAAAAAGAATTGAAAATAGAAGAAGAAATAATTGATGATGATCCATTAATAACATCGCAAAATAATGAAGTTGACGATTTTCAAAATGCTCCGGAATTATTTAAATGTGAAATATGCGGTCAATATTGTTCGACAAAAAAAAATTTAAAACGTCACACATTAATACATGGTGAGAAAAAGTATTCATGTTTTGTTTGTAAAAAATGGTTCTTTAGGCCTGATACATTAAAGAAACATGCGGAAAAACATGGTCATGGTTTATTGGACAATTTAGTTGAGGATAATAAACTTTTTGATTCTGACGATGAACCATTTTCAAATAGTGGTGGTAATATTTTCGGTGAGAATAATGAAACATCGAAAAAAGATGATAGCGATGAGGATGGAACTGGTGAATATAAATGTCAACATTGCGATAAAATTATGGCGACAAAAAAAGGATTACGTCGACATGTGTCAATGCATAAACCAAAAGCAGAGCCGGTAACTTGTGAAATTTGCAAAAAGGTGAGAATTAAAATTTACTCTTTTTTTTTTTGATAAATTATTAATTTTTCTTTTTTTTAGGTTTGTGCGAGTCAGGCGCGTCTTGTGATTCATCAAAAAACGCATAATAAACCGAAGGAAAAAGTACCACGTGAATATCTTTGTCACATTTGCAGTAAAGTTTATCCAAGTAATTCATCATTAACATATCATATGCGTACACACAGTGGTGTTAAGCCTCATGTTTGTAAAACATGTAACAGTGGTTTTACAACGACAACAAGTTTAGCGAATCACATTAGAATTCACACCGGTGATAAACCATTTGTTTGTCATGTTTGTAGTGCAGCATTTGCTGTGAGTTCGGCATTTCGACGACATTTAACACGTCATACAGGCGAGGCAAATTATCTTTGTAAAACATGTGGTAAAGCATTCAAACGTCTCAGTACACTTAAGGAACATACTTATACGCATTCCGGTGAAAAACCATATGTTTGTAAAACATGCGGTGCCGCTTATAGTCACAGTGGAAGTTTATTTGCCCATCAAAAACGTTGCCGAGCACAATATGGTGAAACAATGGTGGTTGAAGAACATCATCATAGTGTTGCACATCATCATATTCATGTGAATAATGTTCAATCGGCCGTACGCTCACTGGCTGTGATAGGTCAGATGTTTTAATTTTTATTTGGCAAAAGGACGTTCATTTTTAAGAAAAGTCAAAAGGAAAAAAATTCCCAAAGGAATCTCTCGACTTGGAAAAAAAATATTCTAGATAGAAGAAAAACGTAAGTCAATTGTGATGATTTAATTTTTACTTAAAAGTACTTCTGATTTTTCCGAAGAATTATTTTCATTTTGTTTAAAAAAAATTTCCCTTTTAGAAAAATTCACTTTTTAATTCAGAAGAATTGTTTCTTTTTTTTTTTTGAATGAAAAATCTTATTTAAAAAACCCAAATTTTTAATAATTAGAAAAGATTGAAATTTTCTATGTTTTTCAAAAAATAAATTATTACGGAGAAAATTATGTCGCAGATTAAAACTAAAATCGAAAAATTTACAATCGATTTAATATTATAATGGATAAAATATTTTTTTATCATCGTTCTGCGATTACTCTAAAATTCAAAAATCCAAAAAATAATCGAAGATAATCACAGCGAAATTTTTACAAAATTAAGAAAATAATATAGTACAATTATTGATAGTTCAATAGTAATCATATTGAACAATGTAAATAGGCAGCTGAATGTTATTCCCATCCTCCCCTCTCTCAGTAAGGTGTAAATCATGCTTAGCTTTCTTCCTTTTACAAGTTTTTATTCTTTAAAAAAAAAAAAAAAAAAAACTGTTTTTTGACAAGCTTTAGTGCCATTAGAGCAGGATTGTGTTCTATCGGGTGTTACTTAATTCAATATTTCGTAATCTCGTTTTTTTTTATACTCTATATTTCAAACACATTAAAGAATAATTGCCAGGAATATTCATTCTTCCAACGCCATAAAAAAAAAAGTTTTTTAATCATGTACAGAAACTGTTTTTAATTTGAGACAAAGTCTCAGTAGAATTATATTTGTATTTTACAAAATAAAAATGGAATGCACTGAGTACTTTGAGGAAAAAAAAAACAAATTTTCTTGTGAATATAAAAGAATGAATGTGATTTCATTAAAAAAAAAAGTCTCAGTTTTAATTACACTTTGATACAATAGATTAATATTGTAATTATATGCATTTTTATTAAACACGCTTAAATATTTTTTTTCGTGTTTCAATAGTTGATGAAACCTTTCTTTAAGTTTTTTTTATTATTTCGTCTGCATAAAAAAGAATTTAATAGATTTTTTTTAAACTTTCTAATTTAATTTTTTTTTTTGGAACTAATTGAAAATAAAAAAAAAATCTTATCAAATAATATATATTTATTTTTCATTTACATAAATAAAATAGAATTATTTATAATATTTGGATTTTATTTAAAAATAAAAACAAAGAAAATCTCGCGAAGTTAAAAAAAAATATATTTTTCATTCTTTCTTTTTTAATATACGATATCTACGCCATACTGAAGCCCTTGTACGATTTAATACTTTTGCTAAATCGGAAAACACATGCGATTGATTAGAATTTGAATTTTCCTCCATATAATTCAATATTATTACATCTTCCCTAAATGTGTACCTTTAAAAATAAAAAAATCAAAATTATTTATTTTCTCCATAAACGAATTTTGTAAGACATGTTTCAAATTAAAGGCCTATTTTATTTTTTTTTTTTAAATAGAAGTTTGAACAAATTTAAAATTTATATTTAAAAAAAATCTCACCTGCTTTGTAAATGACTGGCATGTAAATTTCTAAATCGATGATTAACGCTGTATAAAGTTCGATTTGGTAATCCATTTGCTAAAAATTGTACAAATTTTCTTCTCTGTTCAAAATGTTTTACTATAAATAACCAATCTTGCCTCCAATTTAAAAACGGTTGATAATTACTACAATCCCAGTTGTGGAGCTAAACATTTTATTTTTTACAAGAATTTATTAGAATATATTGTTTTTATAATTTTTTCAAAATTAAATTATAATTTATTTTTATTAGCAAAAGTTATTACTTACTTTGCAAAAATTTTTCCAATTCTTGATAATAATTCTATCTTCTTCTTTAGTGTAAACACCTTTTTTTAACGGGACATATTTTTCGAAATTTCGAATTACATCCGAGCTAGGAGCATGAGATCCAGCATTTGACTCAAGTAAATGTTGTTTTGGTACTTCATGAATTAATTTAACTTTTAAATCCCGTAATACCTGTTTTAACTAATTTTTTTTTTGTTAATAATCAACAGAGAATTTAAATTAAGTGGTAAATTAATTTTCTTAAAATTATTAATTATTTCGTAACTGAATAAAAGAAAATTACCTCAATGTTTGTTTTTGGAATTGAATTTGAGTTTGAATCCTATAATTGTTTTTAAATAATAATTATTTAAAACTTATTCATATTAGAAAATTAATATTAAGTAGAAAATAAATTTTTCAGTGTCAAAATATTTAAATGAAAAATTACAAAATAGTTACCGAATCATCATTATCATCTAAATTTGTCCTTTTATCTACACGTTTCTCACGATTTTCGCCTTCAATTTCCAAATGCTGTTCTTCAAAATTATTATTTTCTTTATTAATATCATCTTGTTGATTTTTAAAATCATCATCTTCGTCAGTAGTTTTATTCAAAAAATTTACCCTTTTCCTCTTTTTCACCTTTTTTTTTTCTTCGTTTATGGAATAATTTTTATCAATATGATGATCATCATCTCTTTTTCTCTTACGAAGATATATTGTTTCAATTTTTTGATTAAGTTCTTCATTATCATCTTTACTATTATTATTTGAATTTTTGTTCGTTTTCTTTTTAATTTTACTCGGAATTTTTAACTTTGAGACCTACAATATTGATATTAATAAACAAAAATTGTATAGAAATATTAAAAAAAACAACACTTAATAGAAAATATTTAAAAAAAAAAAATTATTTACCACAACATTTTGATCAACATAAGAATGGTCATCATTATTATTATCTAAACTTTTTCCTTTATTTTTGCTACAATCATTTTTCTTCTTAACTATTCCATACGAGTTTTTCGACAATATTTTTGACTTTGATTTCTACAATATTATTTAATTGTTAATTTTATAAACGCAGCAATGCTGATATAGTTTTTTTTTTAAATTTACTTACAGTATTTTGTTGATCACTTTTTATTTTAGATCTAATAGTTCCACTTGAATTAGATTCCGAATCAATTTTCTTTTTTATATTATCGTCACTTACTGATACATTATTTTTATTTAAAACTGAAGTTTTAAACTTCTTAAAAGACATTTTTTGTAGGTTAAGTTTTGTTTTTCACATTAAATTATCTAAAAATAATAAATATCTTACTTTCGTATTAAAAATTCATTAATAAAAAATAATATTGTGTATGAGAGTTTATTATAATTACTATTTAATAATAGAAACACTTATAAATCTTTTATAAAATAAAATAAAACTAAAGGGAATAGCTGATCTTTAATAATCTATAAAAAAAATTATAGTCAAAACAAAACTTGGGATGATGTCATGTTGGTAGGATTGAAAATTTTATTTTTTTGTAATTTGAGTTGGCATTACTGCTGATTGCAAATGGCGTCGTCAGAAAGTGTAAGAGGTCCATATTTCGTGCAGCTCTGCTTAATCTTATTGTATTTTTTTAATCATAGCGCTAATTATACTTTTTTTATTGAAATTAAATTTAGATATATCTAAATTATCGAAAATTTGTAAAAGTTTTATGGCAGGGAAAAAGAAATTAGCATATTTTGATAAAATTTTTCTGACACGGAAACCTAACCTTAAAAGTTTAGCATCAAAATGTTTAACAAAAAAATAAAGGTAAATGTATAATCCAAATTGTAATGTTATAAAAATGTTATTTTATTAATAATAAGTATAAAAATTACGAAAAAATATAAATAAATAAAAAAAATTTAACTTTCATGAAAAAAAAAATTATATTGGTAACAATGAAAAGTTTTTTTTTTTGTTATCTTGGGTTGGCATTACGCCGCATTGCAATTGGCGTCGCCACTCAGAAAGTAGAAGAACCATTTTTCGTTCGACAAAATTTAATCTTATTTTATTGTTTTAATCCTAACGCTAATTATATATGTTTGTTGATAATTAATTATTGTTTTATATAAATAATCAAAAAATCATAAAAGTTTCGTGGCAGCTGTGAAGAAAAATAAGAAATTTAGGTAAATTTTTTCGACAAAAAAACTAACCTAAAAATTTTGACATTACAATTTGTTATTTCACATTGCCACCGCTAGGTGGAATTTTAACGCGACTTTTGAAATTTTTAAACATTAACAAACAAAAATATGTAAATGAATAATAAATTTTTAAAAATAATTCAAAATAAATGTATTAACAAAATTAAAAATAATAATAATAGATCTGAAATGTTATTACAATGAATAAAAATAGTTTAAAAAATTTACAATTAGGTTGGTGAAAATGTAATTGGTTGGTACCACTGCTCACTATAGTGAACATTGTAGGAAGCGCGGTGAAAGTGACAGAATATTTCGTCAATAAACAAAACGTATCTTGTATTGTTTGAATAAAAATTATTAATACATTTAAAAAATTTAGTTCAGTTTAATCTAAATATTTTAGATTGTAACTATTTTTTGTTGGTAACTATTAGAAATTTTATTATTTTGTCAAATTTGATAACAATTTGGGATTTAACCTAAAAAATACTACACGGACAATTTCACATGTCAATTTAACATCTGTTTGGGAATTTGTCCGCCTCATTCTAGAGACAAAATTTAAAACCATAATTTCAATAATATTAAAATTCTTATCGTATATTTATTTAACATTTTTTTTTATTTATTTACAGGGTTAAAAAATGTCATCTTAGAAAAAAGGCCAAAAATATTAAAACTTTCGGCGTCAATTCTTCTTAACTCAGGTAAATATTTATTTATCTATTAGTAATTGAAACTTCTTTTCTAATTTGATAAAATTATTTAATATCTGTTTTTATAAAAAAAAGTTTTCTGCAATTTAATTTTGTCAATTTTTGTTTGTCTTCACAGAATTCAGACTTGGAGAAGAATTTGATGACATAAATGAGATGACAAATGACAACTTCTACTAAATCTTCGAATAAGTGAGTCTCTTTTTATACTGAAAATTATTTTTTTACATACATTAATTATTATTAATCAAAGTTATTTTTAATTAATAACACAAAGATTGTTAATTAATTAAAATTTGAAAAAAAACTGACGATAAGAGAAAGTTTAATTATTTTTTTTTCTCAATTTACAGGTGTTCAATAAGGATGGGTGTTTGTTGCGGAGCTGCTCCTGGAGGAGATCTTGCATTGCTGAGTCGCAGTTCAATGTAAGTTGATTATTCATATTTGAATACCACGAATAAAAATCTTTATTAATAGAGAGATCGAGTTTAAATCTTAATTTTTCTTAATAAAAATCTATATTGCCGAGCGATTATTTAGCAAATTCAAAAAATCCCCAAATTTATCTTGACCAAGATCAGCATCCGCTGGACCAATCAAAAAGTCCGCCATACATTATTTGTTCAGAACTTTCTTCTAATCACTATGGCGGTATTCCCGAACGAATATCTAGCGAATTTAATTTTTTGAAAATTTTTCCAAAATATTTTTTAGTGTAGCTCAGCATCCGCTGGACCAATCAAAAAGTGCGCCATACATTTTTTGTTCGAGACTCCCGGGTTAAGACTTTGGCGGTATTCCCGAGCGATTATAACGCAAATTTAATTTTTCGAAAATTTTCCGAATTTATTTTTTAGTATAGCTCAGCATCTGCTGGACCAATCAAAAAGTGCGCCATACATTTTTGGTTCAGAACTTTCTTCTAATCACTATGGCGGTATTCCCGAACGATTATCTTGAAAATTTAATTTTTCAACAATTTTCCATAAATTTATTTGAGTGTAGCTCAGCATCCGCTGGACCAAACTAAAAGTGCGCCATACATTTTTTGTTCGAAACTTTTTCCCTATTTTTTTGGCGGTATTCCAGAACGATTATCTCGCAAATTTAATTTTGCTAAATTTTTTCCAAATTTGTTTTTTAGTGTAGCTCAGCATCCGCTGGACCAATCAAAAAGTGCGCCATACATTTTTGGTTCAGAACTTTCTTCTAATCACTATGGCAATATTCCCGAACGATTATCTCGAAAATTTAGTTTTTCAACAATTTTTCCAAAATGTTTTTTAGTATAGCTCAGCATCCGCTGGACCAATCAAAAAGTGCGCCATACATTTTTTGTTCGAGACTCCCGGGTTAAGACTTTGGCGGTATTCCCGACCAATTATCTCGCAAATTTAATTTTTCGAAATTTTTTAAAAAATTTATCTGAGTGTAGCTCAGCATCCGCTGGACCAATCAAAAAGTGCGCCTTACATTTTTTGTTCGAGACTTTTTGCTCAATTTTTTGGCATTATTCCCAAGTCATTATCTAACAAATTTTTTTTTTCGAAATTTTTTTCCCAGTTTTAGTGAGTGTAGCTCAGCATCCGCTGGACCAATCAAAAAGTGCGCCATACATTTTTTGTTCGAGACTTTTTGCTCAATTTTTTGGCATTATTCCCAAGTCATTATCTGGCAAATTTTTTTTTTCGAAATTTTTTTCCCAGTTTTAGTGAGTGTAGCTCAGCATCCGCTGGACCAATCAAAAAGTGCGCCATACATTTTTTGTTCGAGACTTTTTGCTCAATTTTTTGGCATTATTCCCAAGTCATTATCTGGCAAATTTTTTTTTTCGAAATTTTTTTCCCAGTTTTAGTGAGTGTAGCTCTGTATCCGCTGGACCTATCAAAAAGTGCGCCATACATTTTTTGTTCGAGACTTTTTGCTCAATTTTTTGGCATTATTCCCAAGTCATTATCTGGCAAATTTTTTTTTTCGAAATTTTTTTCCCAGTTTTAGTGAGTGTAGCTCAGCATCCGCTGGACCAATCAAAAAGTGCGCCATACATTTTTGGTTCAGAACTTTCTTCTAATCACTATGGCGGTATTCCCGAACGATTATCTCAAAAATTTAATTTTTCATCAATTTTTCCAAAATGTTTTTTAGTGTAGCTCAGCATCCGCTGGACCAATCAAAAAGTGCGCCATACATTTTTTGTTCGAGACTTTTTGCTCAATTTTTTGGCATTATTCCCAAGTCATTATCTGGCAAATTTTTTTTTTCGAAATTTTTTTCCCAGTTTTAGTGAGTGTAGCTCTGTATCCGCTGGACCTATCAAAAAGTGGGCCATACATTTTTTGTTCGAGACTTTTTGCTCAATTTTTTGGCATTATTCCCAAGTCATTATCTGGCAAATTTTTTTTTTCGAAATTTTTTTCCCAGTTTTACTGAGTGTAGCTCAGCATCCGCTGGACCAATCAAAAAGTGCGCCATACATTTTTTGTTCGAGACTCCCGAGTTAAGACTTTGGCGGTATTCCCGACCAATTATCTCGCAAATTTAATTTTTCGAAATTTTTTAAGAAATTTATCTGAGTGTTGCTCAGCATCCGCTGGACCAATCAAAAAGTGCGCCATACATTTTTTGTTCGAGACTCCGGGTTAAGACTTTGGCGGTATTCCCGAGCGATTATAACGCAAATTTAATTTTTCGAAAATTTTCCGAATTTATTTTTTAGTATAGCTCAGCATCTGCTGGACCAATCAAAAAGTGCGCCATACATTTTTGGTTCAGAACTTTCTTCTAATCACTATGGCGGTATTCCCGAACGATTATCTCGAAAATTTAATTTTTCAACAATTTTTCATAAATTTATTTGAGTGTAGCTCAGCATCCGCTGGACCAAACTAAAAGTGCGCCATACATTTTTTGTTCAGAACTTTTTGACTATTTTTTGGTGGTATTCCCGAGCGATTATAACGCGAATTTAATTTTTCAAAAATTTTCCGAATTTATTTTTTAGTATAGCTCAGCATCCGCTGGACCAATCAAAAAGTGCGCCATACATTTTTTGTTCGAGACTTTTTGCTCAATTTTTTGGCATTATTCCCAAGTCATTATCTGGCAAATTTTTTTTTTCGAAATTTTTTTCCCAGTTTTAGTGAGTGTAGCTCTGTATCCGCTGGACCTATCAAAAAGTGGGCCATACATTTTTTGTTCGAGACTTTTTGCTCAATTTTTTGGCATTATTCCCAAGTCATTATCTGGCAAATTTTTTTTTTCGAAATTTTTTTCCCAGTTTTACTGAGTGTAGCTCAGCATCCGCTGGACCAATCAAAAAGTGCGCCATACATTTTTTGTTCGAGACTCCCGAGTTAAGACTTTGGCGGTATTCCCGACCAATTATCTCGCAAATTTAATTTTTCGAAATTTTTTAAGAAATTTATCTGAGTGTTGCTCAGCATCCGCTGGACCAATCAAAAAGTGCGCCATACATTTTTTGTTCGAGACTCCGGGTTAAGACTTTGGCGGTATTCCCGAGCGATTATAACGCAAATTTAATTTTTCGAAAATTTTCCGAATTTATTTTTTAGTATAGCTCAGCATCTGCTGGACCAATCAAAAAGTGCGCCATACATTTTTGGTTCAGAACTTTCTTCTAATCACTATGGCGGTATTCCCGAACGATTATCTCGAAAATTTAATTTTTCAACAATTTTTCATAAATTTATTTGAGTGTAGCTCAGCATCCGCTGGACCAAACTAAAAGTGCGCCATACATTTTTTGTTCAGAACTTTTTGACTATTTTTTGGTGGTATTCCCGAGCGATTATAACGCGAATTTAATTTTTCAAAAATTTTCCGAATTTATTTTTTAGTATAGCTCAGCATCCGCTGGACCAATCAAAAAGTGCGCCATACATTTTTTGTTCGAGACTCCCGGGTTAAGACTTTGGCGGTATTCCCGACCAATTATCTCGCAAATTTAATTTTTCGAAATTTTTTAAAAAATTTATCTGAGTGTAGCTCAGCATCCGCTGGACCAATCAAAAAGTGCGCCATACATTTTTTGTTCGAGACTCCCGGGTTAAGATTTTGGCGGTATTCCCGACCAATTATCTCGCAAATTTAATTTTTCGAAATTTTTTAAAAAATTTATCTGAGTGTAGCTCAGCATCCGCTGGACCAATCAAAAAGTGCGCCATACATTTTTTGTTCGAGACTCCGGGTTAAGACTTTGGCGGTATTCCCGAGCGATTATAACGCAAATTTAATTTTTCGAAAATTTTCCGAATTTATTTTTTAGTATAGCTCAGCATCTGCTGGACCAATCAAAAAGTGCGCCATACATTTTTGGTTCAGAACTTTCTTCTAATCACTATGGCGGTATTCCCGAACGATTATCTCGAAAATTTAATTTTTCAACAATTTTTCATAAATTTATTTGAGTGTAGCTCAGCATCCGCTGGACCAAACTAAAAGTGCGCCATACATTTTTTGTTCAGAACTATTTGACTATTTTTTGGTGGTATTCCCGAGCGATTATAACGCAAATTTAATTTTTCGAAAATTTTCCGAATTTATTTTTTAGTATAGCTCAGCATCCGCTGGACCAATCAAAAAGTGCGCCATACATTTTTGGTTCAGAACTTTCTTCTAATCACTATGGCGGTATTCCCGAACGATTATCTCAAAAATTTAATTTTTCATCAATTTTTCCAAAATGTTTTTTAGTGTAGCTCAGCATCCGCTGGACCAATCAAAAAGTGCGCCATACATTTTTTGTTTAGAACATTTTGACTATATTTTTGGTAGTATTCCCGAGCGATTATAACGCAAATTTATTTTTTCGAAAATTTTCCGAATTTATTTTTTAGTATAGCTCAGCATCCGCTGGACCAATCAAAAAGTGCGCCATACATTTTTGGTTCAGAACTTTCTTCTAATCACTATGGCAATATTCCCGAACGATTATCTCGAAAATTTAATTTTTCAACAATTTTTCCAAAATGTTTTTTAGTATAGCTCAGCATCCGCTGGACCAATCAAAAAGTGCGTCATACATTTTTTGTTTAGAACTTTCTTCTAATGACTTTTACACAACGCAGAAATTTCCCCTTATAGATGAGTCTTTTTGCAATAGTTTACAGAAATATTGGAAAATATAATAAGAAAATTTGTTAAAAATTTATTGTAATATTTATAACTGATGGTAGAAAGTCAAATGTTAGTATTTATAAATATTAATATATTTAAAAATAATTGATAATATTAAAGGTTTTTAACACTTTATTTTACACATGTAACATCTTTATTTTTTCAGGTAGTTGATCGAGGACAAGGAAGATTTGTGCTTGTAAAAAGTGTTTTTTCTATTATCGTTTCTCTGACACTACGCAGAAATCTCTCGATACAGGTGAGTTTTTTTCTATCAATTTTAAATTAATTTTGTTCTTAAAATTTTTTACGTGTGTGTAACATTTCTTGATTAATAATTTCTCTTCAATGATTTTGTTAATGTATATTTAATACATTTTTATCAATCACATGCATCTTGTTCAACTCAGCATTTAATAGTAGTTTTAGAAAAGAATCATATAATTTAATTTAATATATTGGTTTTTTTGTTTTTTCAGGTCCATTTCAATTTTGCAATTTTCATAATAGACAAGGAAGGAAGGATGTGGAAGAAGAAAAGTGGCCCCTGCATACATTTTTTTTTTAAATTTTTTTTCATTTTTCTTATTTTTTTATAATATTTTTTTTGAGCTCCCGGCCTCGCGCAGAAGTGCGAGCAAGAAAGAGGGATCTTCGGGAGCTGGCCTGAAGCGCTCGAGAAGTGGCGATGACGTAATTGCTCCGACGTGGGATTCGCCGGTCGGCGAGTGATTTTTTATTTAACCCCTTCCCTGTTTAAAACAGTTATTTTTTTATAAATTAAAAAAGTAGATTCATAAATTGAAAATCCATGTTTTAATATATTCTTAATTTCTCAGTTTTTAAATTTTCTTGACTCTAAAAGAAAGTAGATATATTAAATTGATTCAAATAAAATATTAAATTTAAAAACAAAACAGGGAAGGAATAATCACAACATAGTGACACCATTGACAAAATGTATTATTTTCTAGTATTTTTTATGGGTATTCTAAAAAAACATTCTAACACTCCCCAAATCTTAAAATATTACATGTTTTGTGGATTACTACCTTAATACTATACGGAAATTAATATTATTGTCAATGTTTTTTTTCATTGTTTATATGTATGTATTTATTTACTGTATGTTTGTAATTTTTCTTATTGTTGTAAAGTAATTTTCTTTCTATAAAAAAAGTAATTTAAACTTAATTTTAAAAATTTTATAAACATTAAATAATTTAATTAATCTTGTTAACAATTTTTGAATTTTGCATAGTAAATTTAAAATTTTCAAAGTTAATGCATGTGGAATTAAAAATTAAAAGGTTTTGATAATTTTTTAATCATAAACTAATGAAATGTTTTCTTTTCAGAAAAGAAATCGCTCAGGTGACGGTTGCGTCCCGGGACGTTAACCCTAGTGTAGGTCATTTTGCACCTGGGCGGTTATAGTTAGTTTAAATATATTCGTAGATAGGAAGTGCGGGTAAAATAGTAAAAGAAAAATTTTTCGTTTTAAATATAGCTACAGGTAGGGAAATCGGGAAAAGTAGGCAAAATTTTTTTCCGTTTTAAATATAACTGTAGGTAGGGAAATCGGGTAAAAAATGTGAGTAAAAAACAAGTAACTGGAGTACCAGTGAAAATTTACCTTATTTTAATTTTTTATTTTTTTGTCACTATGTTGTCTTTTCTTTTAATGTTTTGTGAATGTCTTGTAAATGTCTTGTGAATGTTTTCTAATTGTTTTGTGAATGTTTTGTTTAATTAATAATTATTTTCAGTTGATTCATCGTGGTGAGCAATGATATTTATTTTCAATTTCGATAATCATTTATTTTTTCAGGAATATTTAATTTATTATGTTTATTCTTAATCTATTAATATATATTTATTTATTATACTACATTTATCATATATGAAAATTTTAATACTGTTACTAAAAATTAAATCATGTGTCTCTATTAAAATTAGTTAATATTTTAATTAATTTTATTTATTATTTTGACTTTTTAGTATAAATTGATATTTAAATTACATAAAATGTTAACTATTTGAGAATTTAGAGAATACTTAGAATTTTAAATTGAATTTGAATTACAAATTGTTTTATGTATATTCTGTTATTGCAAATTTTTTGGTCATTTTTTTATAAATTTTATTATACAGCATTGCGATTGTTCAAATCGCAGCTGTTTTATTTTTTTTACTTATTTTTATTTTGAATAGATGCAATATTTTGGCAGACAATTTAAAATTAGATTTTTAATATTTCTGAAAAATAAAATTTTAAGTTTATTATATATTATAATTTATTTATCATTTAGTCTTTATACTATTGTATTTTTCAGAAATATTAAAAATATAATTTTAAATTCTCCGCCAAAAATTCGTATCTATATTCAAAATATATACGCTCACAAGTTTTCGGTATATCGGGTAGTTTTTAAATATAATTTAATCAATTACCTTTTTATATATTTCTTTTTAAAGAATGTGGAATTTAAAAGTGACGATTTTTTAATGAAAAAAAACAATGTTTTAAAACAAAAATTTTATATTTGTACCCTTTAACTGCAGCGCACCACGGGAACTAATTGAACTAAATATAAATTGAGTTTCTAGTCTATGATCTACATATACATATGTATATATTTCACCTTTATCTATTTCATTAAAATTGTTGTTTTACAAAACATTGTATTTTTAAGAAAAAAAATCAAATATCTTGAGATCCTAATTCATTCAAATAGAAAGAAATGAAAAGGTTTATTTGTGATTTGACAAATTATATTTAAATTGCAATATGTCCACGTCCATGAAAAGTCAAAACTATAATACATTTTGGTCTTTCATAAACTCGGATTTCTCATAAATTGAAAATTAGTGTATATATTGCACTTTGGATTAATTTACTTTTAGACAGTAAGTATAATTTCTTTTCAATTATTTATTTTTTTAAATTGTCTTTAAAAACATATTAAAACTCATAGGAGAAATCTCTTTGAAGGTTATCTTATACTGAATTTAATGAAATATTAAATTGATATAAATGTTTTATTTTAGAGAAAGAGAGTTATTTTTACTAGGATTATAAAATGGATCAAACTTTATCTAATGAATTTCTTGCTGGAAATAATGGTATCTCTATTATTCGACGAGAAGATGATGAGCTTATCATATTTAGCTCAATTGATGAGGCAACAAAATCCTGGCTAAATTCTTTACACTACATATGGAATTTATGTAAATATGATTTCATAAAATATTTTTTAAAATTATTATTTAAAATTTTAAATTTATTTCATTGTTTCAGGGAAAAAAAGTCAAGGAGTCACTAAAACTTTGACCGATTATTTTGAAACTGCTCCAAATCCTTATCTCAGTACTTTACGAATATTAGTCAATACTAATGATTTCTCACACTCAAAAACAAAATCATCCCTCTCTTTTACAAGTAATAATATTTCAATATTATTAATATTTTAGTTGAAATTAAATTATTACTAAAAATGATTTCTAATGTGGTAACACTCATTTTATTTTAGTTATGGAGGATTTTTCAAAGTGGATAGCTCCTCAGAAGGATAATTATAAAGAATGTTTGGAAGTGGATTTAAAATTAGCTGCTTTTAAATTAGTTTCAAAACAAAAGAATATGCAGCTTGTTAAAATAGTTGCAGAAACTTATGAATTTACTACTTGCAATGAATTATTTTACCAAATAATAGAGGTTAAATATTTTACATACATGTAATTATAAAATTTATGATTAACTTTTTTTTGATAAAAATATGTTCAATTTACAGGCCATGATATGTGATAAAAAATACAAGGAAGCGGCTCAATATGCTGAAATGCTAAATTTACAGCCTTTCTTTGCAGAACCTGAAGTACTCTTACTTCCACTTATTTTACAAAATAAAGTTACAGTTGTTGAAGATTTTTTAACAAATCAGCCAGAAATTCAAAAAAATTTAGTTCAATATTTGGATGGTCTTTTGGCACCAGGAAAAAATATACAAGTTACATTGGATCGTTTCATCGAGTAAGTTTACTTCTTTATAATAATGTAATTAATAATAAAAAGATTGTAATTTTTTAATTGTAATTAAATAAATTTTTTTTAATATTTTAGAAAGAATAACATATCCGATGTGAAAATGTCCACTGCACAATTTAGACCAATGTCTAAATTAGTTGCTCGTCTTGCTAAACTTTATAAACTTCCACCTGAAATTTGTCCCTATTTGAATCAAAAGCGTGGTGAAGGGGCTTTACAATTTTTAATTTACAAACGATTTGTGGAAGGCAGCCTAAGTAAAATTGTTTTCAATTTAAAAATTTATTTATTGTATAATTTTTAATTATAAAACTAATTGAATTTATATTTACAGGTGCTGAGAGTTGGAGAGAAATGGCTAGAGAAGCTGTTGGCAATGATGAACGATTACATATTGAATTAGTTAAAAATTTGTCATTTACAAATGTTCAAGAATCTCTTTATTTTGCAAAATTGTTAAATGTTCCTGAAAGTGAATGGCCCTGGTCTGTTCAACAGTTAGATAAAGAAAATCCAAATGGTAAATTTTGGAAAATATTTCTTATTACTTTAAAATATAATAACAGAGTATAATTTATTAAAATAATTGCAAATATTAATATTTTTAGATGAAGGTGCAAGTAGTATACCACAAGAAAATTGGGATGCTGACGCTTGTGATAATTATTATACTTTAAAATTGCCAAGAGAAAATATTAAATTAGTTAGCGATAAACGATCTTTTGAAGAATTTCTTGATGAAATAATGAAAGGAACAAATCTTGTTGGTATTGATTCTGAATGGAAGCCAAGTTTTGGTAATTATTATATCTAATCAATACATTAAATAATAATAGAATAATTTTAATTTCATTCTTTTTTATAAAAATTATTTTCAGGAACTAAAAAGTCAGAATTGGCTTTAATTCAAATTGCAACAGAGACAAATGTCTATATTTTAGACACAATAAATTTGGGAAGTGAATTTAAAGAGCTTTGGTCTGAATTAGGATTAGTGCTATTTGAAAATAAAAATATATTAAAATTAGGCTTTGGATTGGCGAATGATATTGCAATGATGCGTGAAAGTTTACCGGCATTATCAAATGTGAGAGCTTGTGGACAAGGTTATATGGATCTTCTTCATGTTTGGAGGAAATTGGTCAATGAATATGATTTTCAATTTCCCTATGCTGGTGATCCAAATTTTTCAAATGAAAGCCTCAGTAAATTGGTGGAACTTTCTTTGGGTCATAGATTGAATAAATCTGATCAATTTTCCAATTGGGAGAGAAGACCATTGAGAGAAAGTCAAATTATTTATGCTGGTTAGTAAAAAAAAAAAAAAAAAAAACAATTTTATTTAAATATTTAAATAATAAGGAAATAGTAAGGAAAATTCTTTTTATAGCTTTGGATGCGTATTGCTTATTAGAAGTTTATGATGCACTTGCAAAGCAATGCGCGCAAATGGATATTGAATTTCACGAAATATCAGCACAAGTTCAACACATTCCGCACAAGTCTCCAAAGAAAGCTGTTGTTAAAAAAACCACTTCAAGTCGAGTATGTTATTTAATGATTTATTTTTGTTTTTTCAGATAATAATTATATTATTATTATTATTGCATAATTATTTTTTGTTTAGAATGAAGTCAGTGATAAAATTGAAGCTGTCAGTCTTCCAGTGCAAGCGCCTCGAATGCAACAAGCAAGATGTGGCGTGATTAAAGCTCATCGAGTTGTTAATGATGTAGAACCTGAAGTTAAAAATCTACCTGTAGCCGCTCATCAATGGCGTGTTGTTTGTGATTCAATGTTGGGAGCATTGGCAAAACAGCTACGAATGTGTGGTTGTAATTGTGTTTACATTGAAAATGATCGAGGTGGTGATCAATCGATTAAAGTCGCTTTAAGCGAAAATCGAGTTTTACTTACTCGAAACAGTTGTTATGAAAGAGTAAGATTTTTATAATTTTGTGTTTCTTTTTAAATAGTATTAATTTGCAAACAAATTCAATATTTTTTTCAATTACAGTTTGCTCAACATATACCAACTGGTTCTTGCTACAGAGTTCTAACTGATAAACCTGAAGAGCAACTTAAAGAAGTATTAAATTATTTTAATATAATAGTGACTGAGAGAGATATATTTAGCCGTTGTCAAGTATGCAATCAAGATGAATTTGTTCGTGTAATTGATACAACAATGAATACACTCGTCGACAGGTAAAATTTTACACGTAGAAAAAAATGTATTCATCTATAATTTTTAATCATATTTTTTTTTCAGTTTTACGAAAATGATGCGAGGTCGTAATTATCGAAAACCAGGTCCTTCAGTTGTTAATAATCAATTTGATGGTGAATATGAAGATGTTTCTTATGTTCAAGAGAATTTCGAATCTGGAGGAAAATTACGTCAATCTAAACATGATCGTACTTGGCGATTAAGCGAAAATACATTGGATCTAACACAATGTCGAACAAAATATGGAATTTTAATTAAAATCGACAAGGTGCCATCGAAAGTTTTCAAAAATGTAAATTGCTTTTACATTTGTGAAAGTTGTGGTAAAGTTTATTGGGATGGCTCGCATATGGAACGTGCTCTTAATGGAGTATTAAAAGATGTCATTGTTCATAAATGATTGACAAAAAAAATGTTTTTGTTAACATATTAAAAATACGAAATTGTGTTCAAAACTGAAAAAGGTGATTTCTATATAGGTATGTATACGTGTAAGTTTTGTTTATCTTTTTCATCACAAATAGTGATACATTGAAATTTTATTTTTCTTTTGTTATATATATAGTATATATTATAGAATTCCTAAAATACTTATTCTGTTATTTTTATTTTATTTTTTTTTTAATTTTAAAAATGACAAAATTCCGTGATTGTTTTTTTGAATTTACTGTAGTTAGAAAGTACATCCTCAGTAATTAAATATTTAAAGAATTTTCAATTACAAGCTTTAATAATATAAGAAATGTATAATGTATTTTGAAAATGGACAAACAGATTTTTATTCAATCAAGTTAGTATAAAACTTGAATTTATCTTCTCAGTGCTCAAAATTTTACTTCTAATGAGCACTTAAAGAGTTGAGCATAAGATTGGTAACAGGGTTGTTTGTCAATAATGACAGTAGCATTTTTTGATACAAAAATAACTTCCCAATAATATTTTTGGGAGGCAAAAATCTGTCTCAATAGTACAAGGTAATATTTAATTTACATAAAATATATTTTAATTACGCGTAATATAATAGATTAACATTCAATACACACAATGTACATAACATAAATAGTGTATGTTGCTTTTAATTGTTAACGTGATAATCGAAAGCTTCAGAAAAAAGCTCAGTGATATAATTATATAATGAATTTATGTCAAAAAAAAAGAGAGAAAAGTATCTTCAATTTGCGCCACTCGATAAAAAATATCAAATGTACTACTCTACTCGTAAATAAAACAATTTCTTTCCATTTTAAAAATTTTAATTTTAACTTATGTACATAATTTATATACATATATTTAAAAAAAATCTCAACAACAAATGTATCGCGTTTTAAAAAAAAATCATAATATTACTGCAAAAAACATTATTTAATGATTTATAAAAATAAATTAAATTTTATACACTATGCAGGAGATTGTTCTGGAGAAGAAGCTTCAGGATCTTGTGGATCCTCAGAATTTTCTAAATCTACTGTTGTATCCAAATCTGCAGGATCAACCAATTGCTTCTTTCCAAAGGGTGGTGGTCCAATCAATTTTTCAATATCTTTATAGGTTAGCACCTCTCGTTTTAAAAGTTCTTCAGCAACCTAGAAATAGGTAAAATATTTATCAGTCACTATCTTTAAATAAATTATGAAAATTAGAGCCAAAAAAAAAACTATATTACTATTTGCAGTTTATCCTTGTTTTCCTCCAATAGCTTTCTGGTACGTTTAGAAGATTCGGCAATCAAGTTCGAAGCTTCAGCATCTATTAGATTTCCAAGAGATTTACTGTACGGCTTTATTGGCTGTAAATATATTTTTTGGTTTTAAAAAAATTTATAACATCATCTTTGAAAAATTAGAAAATGAAAAAACTTACCCCACTTGTACTCTCAGAAGGAAAAGAAACTAATCCAACTTTAGAGTCCATTCCATATTCTCTGACAAGAGAATATGCAAGTTTAGTTATAGCTTTAAAATCATCTTTATTTCCAGTTGTGCATTTTTCGAAAATTAAATTTTCCGCAGCTGAACCACCAAGCATCACACATATTCGATCCAAGAGTTTTTCCTTAGTGTGAAGATATTGTTCGCCTCGTGCTTGTTGAGTGAATCCAACTGATTTTGATCTTGGTATGATTGATACTTTTAGAAGAGCATCAGTATGTTCTAAAAGCCAGGCAACAAGTGCGCGTCCTGTTTCACGATATGCTATCATTCGTTTTTCTGCAGCAACTATTGAATTATTTTTTAATTCAGTACCACCAAGCACTCGATCTATAGCATGTAATAAATCACTGGAATCGACTCTCTTCTTTTTAGTTCTAGCTGCATAAATGGCAGCTTCATTACAAATGTTTGCTATATCAGCACCTGAAAAAAAAATTAATTTCCAAACATGATTTTTATAAAAGAATATACATTTTCGAAAGATTAAATTTTTTTTCTTTTACTAACCACTGAATCCCGGTGTCATGTGAGCTAATTGCATAGAATATTCACTTGGTTGTTTAGCTAATTTAATGCTTTTGAGATGTTGTTCAAAAATTTCCCGCCTCTCTGTAAGAGTTGGAAGATCAATCAAAATATGTCGATCAAATCTACCTGGACGCATTAGAGCTTTATCGAGAACTTCCGATCGATTTGTAGAAGCTAAAACAATTACATCACTTCTCGATCCTATACCGTCCATTTCAACTAATAGTTGATTTAAAGTTTGTTCACTTTCTCTATTTCCTTGACCGGCAGCTGATCCATCTAGACGTTTTCCACCAATTGAATCAATTTCATCAATATAAATAATGCAAGGTGCTCTAAAAAAAGAATAATATCACAATATTTAAAATTTAATTCTAAATATATTTTTCTATATGTTCCATATATTTACCGTTTTTTTCCATCGCGAAACAAACTTCTAACTCGAGCTGCACCAACTCCACCAACCATTTCAATAAATTCTGTTCCATTTATAGATAAAAATGGTACATTAGCTTCTGTTGCTACAGCTTTTGCCAACATTGTTTTACCACAACCTGGTGGACCCAAAAGTAAAGCACCTAAAATGAAAAAAATAATTAATAAAAAAAGAATAATATTAAATTATTTTATTAAATACCTTTTGGCACTTTAGCACCAAGTGATTTGTAATGTTCAGGATGTTTTAAATAATCAACAAGTTCCATAACTTCAACCTTCGCTTCTTTTAAACCAGCAACATCTGAGAAACGTACACCTTTTCCACTTCCAGTTAAAGGATCTACTAATGTGAATTTAGCACGTTTTAAATTATCGAACATATCCGTTGAAAACGGAAATTTACTTTTTCCACCTCTAAATATCATATATATGATAAAGGAAACTACCAATGCAACGAGTATATTAGGAACCAAACCAAATCTACGATGATAAGAAATTGGCACTCCATCACCTGTAAATAAATTTTTATTTTATTAAATATCCATATTTAATATTCAATTTTTATTATTTTACCTGGTTTTATGCCAAGAGAAGCTTCCACTGCTCTTACTTTCTCTTCAAAACGATCAGGATTTGAAATACGCATATTAAAAGCATGAATTGGTGTTACTTGTCCTTTTATGATAGCTCCAGGATGTAGAAATATTAATGCTGATTCTGCTTCTGGATCAACAATAATTCGTTGTACTTCCCCTTTTGCAAGCATGTGATAAACAAAATCGGTCCACGAGGCTTGCCATCGTATCTAAGAAAAGAAAAAAAAATACATAACTCACATCTTAATTAATATTGTAATCAATAGAATAAACATTAAACCTACATTAGATGGAGTAAATTGATATGAAAAAAAAAATAATGTCAACATTATTTGAATGAAAACTAATGCAGATTTGAAAAACAATTGTTTTCGATCATCCTCGTTTGAAGAATCTTTATTTTTCTCTTCATTATTATTACTTCCAGTGTTTTGGTTGTTTGAATCTGAAGCAGTATTTTTAGATGGTTCATCATTTTTTGAATGAGGTGATCTACTATATTTTATAGTTGTTACACTAAAATTTCTAAAAATTTTAATTTTTTTTCGTATAAATATGTCATCTATTCCACTTCGTCGCAGTAAACAACATACTCCCTTGTATTCTCTTTTCAAATATTTGAATGACTAAAAAATTAAATTATATTATTTAATTTCAAAATAAATTTTCTACAAAAGAAATATAATGTTATTTTTATAAACTTACTTGTTTTGATGTTTGAAAAAATCTACAAAATTGTAGATTATTCCATGATTTTATAAAAATTTGCTCTTTATTAAAAACATTTTCTTCTACAGAATGTTTATAAAAATTGCCAAATGCACATTTTGATTGTGCAAAGTGCCGGCTTGAATATTTTGCTAAAGTTTGCATTTTATTTTTTGGTTTTTAACCTATAATTCACAGTTCAATGTATCCATTTAGTTGCAGTTTTCACAATTGTGGAGATGAAAAATAAATTACTCTAATTCTCGATGAATTATGTAAACTATTAAATGGTTGATTATGTTATAAAATAACATATCTTTATATATTTAATTCCACTTAACACATATAAAAAAAAAATTATATCGTTTATATATATACTTAGGTGAAGTTGGTTTCAATCGGTTAGTGGCGCTATCTAGGTGAAAGAAGGCGGTACTATTTGGTTAGAACCACTGATGGTATCTAAGCAAAATGACCCAACCTAACATGACGTCATTTAGTAGAGTTACTTTTGTAACGGATGCAGGTCAGAAAGATATTGACATAAAATTCGAAAATAACATTCGCGCTTCTCGTTGATATAATATCTTGTCGATCACGTGTTTGTAAAGTTATAACAAATCCAAATTTTAATTATTAAAAAGTTTCGAGAGTGCACGTATTTTCTAATCCAAGATCATCTTCTATCATTTTGCGAACAATGGCGGATTTCGCAAGAGTGTAAAGTGACTAAGTGATTTGAAGACTTTCCATGAGTTTACATTATCAACTTTAGTTAAAACGTTTAGGAAATGTGTATAACAAAGTTAATGTTAGTATGTGAGGAAGTCGGACGTGAAATTTAGGCAAAAATTAGACAATACACTGGCTAGTCATGGCATTATTGACCTTCAGAAATTTCTCGGCCTTGTGTATATGGAACATGTAAGTTATTCATTTTTCATAACAGCTTTTGGCTTTCAGATAATCTTAAATAGAGAACACCTGTAAAAAAAATTGCACTAATTTAATATACTTTTCTATCATCCCCTCCCTCATATTATATACTTGTGCATGCTTTGGCGCCATTTTTTTCTACAGGTTATAAAAAGCTAACCCCTCCCAAAGTTCTATATATCTCTTATACATTAATAACGGAAATTTTTCGAAAAAGTGTATAACTTAAAATCTGTTCTTCGAATTAAAAAGTGTGGCATAATTATTTTGTTTGCAATTTCCGGATTAAGACATTGGTAGTATTCCGGAAAGATTTGTACATTGAAAAAATCGAAAATACATTTCAGTTTAGCTATAAAAATCTGTTTGTCCATATTTGAAAAAGTGAGTCATATATTTTTCGTTTGGCAACTCTATTAAATTTTTAAATTTGTTTATCACATCTGAATTTGAATAACATAATTCAAATAATATTCTATTTTAATTTAAAAAAATGTATTTTTTATACATATTAAATAAATACTTATGAAATATCTGTTTTTACTAATATTGATTACATTTTTATGTTTCAGATTAAAGTGTTGGAAGCAGAATATTATTAATTTCGGGAGTGTACGTGTTTTTTTAAATCGGCGATTAAGATTCATGTAGGGTATTTTTTTTTTCTAGAAGTATATTCTTTAATGTCGGGAGTTTTCGAAATATTTAAAACCGCGATCGCATTGTAATTATATAAATTGTTGTTTTATTTATAATTTTGACAAGTGATTCGGGAGTGTACGTAATATTTTATAATCGCGAGTGAATATTTATGCAGATGACAACGTACGATTGCAGCTCCATCAGGATTGAGGTCGGATATATAGGCGCGGATGCTGTTCAAGGTAAGTTTTTAATTTCTTTTGTTTTTTTAATTATAAGTTATAATTTTATATTTTTGTTTTCATTATATATATATATATATGTCTCTCTTTTTTTATTGACAAAATTTTCATTCGAAATTCGTGAAAATTTTTATTATAATTTTATTTATTAAAATTTTGCTACATCAAAATTTAATTTAATACATGAACGTACAAAGGCAAAGTAGAATAAAAGGTACATTTTCTGTATGAAATTAAAATTTTTTTACCTATACCGCAGATACACTATGAAAAAAAAATTTATTTGATTCAAATACCGGTGTATTTGGTTATTATCAAATAAATATTTACTTGAATCAAATATTTCTTATTTGAATCAAATATATAATATTTGTATCAAATATATATTATATTTGTATCAAATATTTCAGTATTTGAAGCAAATACCATTTATTTGATTCAAATAAGAATATATTTGATTCAAGTAAATATTTATTTGATAATAACCATAAATACACCGGTATTTGAATCAAATAAAATTTTTTTTCAGTGTATGAACTTTCATTTCTATATTTATTTGTACGTATTTCATTCGAATTTGAAACAAACTTTATGTTTAAATGAACTCTATGCATTATGCATCTTTTTTTCAAAATTTTTGTTCGCTTCTCTTTAATTATTTATCTTAGGCACCACACTCAGAAAAAAGATATGTTTGAACCAAATGTATACCATTTTTTTATATTTACCCAATTTTTTGGTTAGTTCAAACAAAATTTGTTTAATTCAAATAAATATTTATTTGATCTAAATAACTGTTTGGTTTATTTTAATAAATTTTTTGAACAAAGAAAAAATTTGATTGAGCTAAATAAACGTTTGTTTTATGCAACCAAATGTTTGGTTAACTGTATATCAATGCAGCACCAAAAATTCCCTGAAACTTGACAGAACCTCACACGGCGAGGTTAGGAAACTTCAGTGGCAAGGTTTATACAAGTTTGTGTCGATGTTTAAATGTCCACATGAAATGAATATTTACACGAAACTTTGAGGAAATTATACTATAAATATTCACGTGCAATGTTCAGTCAATATTGTGTCAATATTGACATTATATACATTTTCGCCTAGTTATAAAAATTTCGTTTACTAATATAATAAGTATATAGGTGAATATTGACACAACATTGACTGTACATTGCACGTGATTATTTATAGTGTAATATTCCCTCAAAGTTTCGTGTAAATATTCTTTTCATGTGAACATTTAAACATCGACACAAACTTGTATGAACCTTGCCACTGAAGTTTCCTAACCTCGCCGTGTGAGGTTTTGTCAAGTTTCAGGAAATTTTGGGTGCTGTATACATTATGGTTATCTATAGTCAGTATATAGTGTAGAAGTTTTTTGTGTTATCTATTGGGATGGTTTAATTCAAAGATGTGACAAGAGATTGTTAGAATTGTTGTTATTTATAAAATTTGATAATAATATCAAAGGGTTTTATATTGATATATATATAAAACTTTTTTTAGTCCAAAGAAATGCGTACATTCAAAATCCAATTTATATATACTATATATTCAGAAATAGTGGAAAAAAATGCACATTTCTCTTACAAAACAGAACCAGGATATAGAGAAGGGTGAAGGGGGGGAGGGGGGACGAGAGAAAAGATATGGAAGCCAGCGTGAATATTTTTACCCAAGCGCTGTTAACTACACTCTGTTGTTTTATCTCACGAACGCGGCTTTTCCACTAATACAGTTACAGTTTGCTGGAATATAAGTTTTAAGGCGTGTTTACATAGCGTCAGGGCGTGTCAGCCAGGGGCTTCCTATCTAATGGATCGCTTCTTCGTTCGTTGGTCCGCACTTTGTGAAGTGCACGAGTTATGATAGCATGATACCTTCAAGACCGTTTTCAATAACCGCTAATTGTGCGGACCCAATTGTTATGGTTCCAATTATATATACGTAAAAAGTGCCAAATGATGCATAAAAATCTATTTCTTTATTCATATATCAATTTGCGTTTATTTAAACAAAACAGATTAATTAGTTTAATACTGTTAACTACTTGATTCCTAAAAACCATGTTTTTCCCGTGGTATCGATTTCCTTATCTCTAAGATCAGTATTCAGTTTCCTATTAAAAAAAAGAGGATCATTCTCAAAGGTACATTTACAAAGAACAATCTTTATATTGGCTTTAAAAAGGGCTCCTCATTTTTTCACCACAAACGCACAGGGGTCATGTTTATAGACGCGTTGTCCGTTGTCAACATTGCGTTTAGCAAAGACTTATTCTCATTTCATTATTTTCTATACATATAGTCGCTAATTTTCTAATTAATAAAATATGTATAAATATTCTGAATACACATTTATGGTAAATTGACTTGAAGCATTGTAGTAAAAAAAACTATACTGACATCAAAGTCAGTGTATTGAGATATCTTCTTTTAAGTGAAGTGAAGTGTTCAACGGGAACAAACAAACCGATTCGAATAATTTGTTTTTGTACGCCGTCTAAGTAGCCAACTAACACATCATGATTTAAACAGTCTTACAAACATGTATTATATGCCTTGCATATATATATATACGCATACAAAAAGAAGAAACGAGACGTTGCGTAAGATAGGAGCGCGACAAAAACATTTATTTTGTTAAACAACAAGCTATGTTGTGTTAGGTTTGCCAAAATACCAAAACAATACAATACTCAGTCGGTATATCGTCAACGATGCGTATATACTCTCTTTGGCTCATTCATTCATCCGCAATAGTCGCGGACATTTAATTTCATTCACAATTTTACAATCGTGAAAAATTTATCATAATCACTCAAGTTAAAAAAATATCTAAATGATTAAATTAATTTCAGAAAATAAAGCTGAAATTTATTTTCCAAATATATAATTACAATATTGTAATAAAATTAAAAGCCGATAATCTGATCAATATAATAATAATAATAATAATAAACGAGAAAGGAATTGCCCAGGGGTGAAATTCCGTGTAAACAAGATGTTAATTTTTTAAATTTACTACACCCTTAGAACAAAATCAGAGGGATTGCGAGGAGGATGTTGAATTAATTTTCGAAATTTACGTGCGACTATATAACCTCTTGCGGCAGGTATATATAATCGTCTCTCGTCTTATAAAAAATTCCAATACATCTTTTTTAAAATTTGAAGTATACACGTGAATGACGCGCGAGAAAAGGGAGGGAAACGATGCAAGACAAAATTTTGTTATTACAGATGCTTTTCGTTCGGTATTCGAGGTTATATTTCAGGCACAACGAAGGGAAGCCAATGGCTTCAGAATCCGGAAGTTGATGCACGAGAACCAATTTCAGAATGAAAGACATTTATCCGTAGCATAAGCTTAAGTATATAGTTGACATAGATAAATAATACCAGTAAATGTATTAATTCTTTCCAAATTTTACAAATCCACCGCGCATACCGCAAGAGGATGCGAAGATATATAAATTTTCTAAATACGATTTTTAGAAATACAGAGATCAAGAGCGTTTTTTTTTACAGAATCGAACGTCATTTCCTGGCGATTTAAATTTCGTTTGTATACTATATCAAGAGAATAGGGATTAATTTATGAATTCAAAGTATAATTTCGTATTATAGAAGCGTTATTTGAATGTTCGGTTTGTATACACTGTAAAACGAAAGGTATTAATTTAATACCAACTTTAGGTATACTAAATTGTTATTTGGTTCTATTTTGATACCTAAAATCGGTACTGTTTTAGTACCTTCTTTTTACAGATGAAACGCGATCTAAAAATTATTGTTGACATTAGTGCGACTGTACAATTTTGGATTTGGTATACCTTATAAAGGTTTTGAAGAGAATATAAAGCTATATATATATATGGAAACTTGACGAAATTCACACCTTTCTTGCAACAATGTACGAATTTCGAAAGCGGCGCGAGATAATGTCGATAACAATACATATACGTAGGAGCGTGCAATGGTAAAATCCGGAAAAGCAATAATAATTTCGTAGAAGAGATGGAGAAAGGTATATTATAAGAATGAAATGAAAGAGAATGGGATGTTTTCTTTTGGCGGGCGACAAAACTCACGAATCCTCTCAAACACGCGGAGAGATGACTGAAATGGGACAACGAGATGAGGGAAAATGCTTGACGAGAGAGAGAAATAGACCACATCCGCAAATGAACCAAAAGGTATATATATATATGAAAGAGAAGGATAGAGAGGGGAATGGATAGAACGAACTCGTGCTGGAATAACATTGGGTGACTCTATAGAGTATATAGTATTGTCAACCCCTCGTTTGAGTCTCTCTCTCTCTCTCTTTTTCTCTCCTCTCTCATCTAGGCTATAACCTATCCTAGAATTGCGGCTTAGTTCTGGACCATCATGAAGACGCGCGGGGTACCAATACACACTAGTGGTAGTTGGATCGAAGGGTGTGGTGACGTAGGAGGGGTGAAACAACACCCCGTTCCCACTGGCTCGCTCCCTAAACACGGCCAATAAAAACAACACTTCTACTCTTCGTATATATATATATGTATGGCAGATGAATGAGGCTCCGTGAGTGACAGAGAGAACGAGAGTATATAAGCTTCAAAAAAGGCCAGATAGAGAAAAACCTTCTCGAAGAATTAAAAAAATAACAGACTGTGAACCGATCGAACAATTGGCCGATTCAATTCTAGCCCTTCTGTTATAGAGGCGAGTCATTGTCGCCTGCCAACAGGAATTTGCGCTTGCTCTTCCTTATATGCCAATCCAATCACTTTTTTTTTTCGTTTTGATGCCTTAGACTTTTTTACTTTTGATGAGATGACAAGTTTCGTGATGAATATATATATATATTCTGTATGCGTCTTTTATGAAATTTTTTTGGGAAAAAATTTCTTTTATTTTTCTCCTTTACATATATATGCAAACTATTCCTATCTGACACATAGGCATCACGCAATTCGGTTAAAAACGAGAGCGAGAACT